TTTTTAATGTTACATCTACTCAGAAAAATCATTTGAAAAAGCACCCAGCACATATGGCCCACCTGGCACCACAGGACATCCTCCGAGAAGAAAAAAAAAAGGTGTTCTGCTAACGTAAGACAATTATACGTTACGTATGCCCTCAGAGAAAGGCTCCATACTTTCCATACTAAGATTGCCTGGTGGGAAACTAGGCTTAAAAAAAGCAAAAAGCATGAGCCAGTAAGCGCTTAACAACAAGCAATCAGTTTTTGTTTTGTCTTTGGAGCAGAAGAGTGATAAAACTGCAGCTGATACAGAGAGATGAGTGTTATCACGACACAAGAATGTTCAGTTTGCCAACAGTACTAAAAGCAAAAAGACGAAGTGCAATCATTTATGTAAGGTGGTAGCTGATGCATAATGTATCCATGGAATCAGGTTAAAATACACATGAATATAAAAGTGTGTATCTTTCGGTTTTAAAAACATGATACACAGGGCAGTGGATTTTTTCTAAATGCAAGAAATGCAGATTTTACTTCCTAGTTTTACCTCGAGTGCTGTGTTTTTAAAACGCTGTCATGTGCAAGGCACTGTAAATGACGTAAGTGCAATGGTCAAACGCACCCATCTAACAAAAACTTGCCCTGTTAAACAAGCTAAACAATCATTTACCAACAGATTAAAAACATGGAAAACACAAACAAAAACTGTGAACAAAATACAATTCAGCTGGCTAACTAACACTGAACTGTGTGGTTACTTAAAGGGGTCATATGATGCGATTTCAAGTTGTCCTTTCTCTTTGAAGTGTTACACGCTCTTGGTGCATAAAGAAGATCTGTAAAGTTGCAAAGACTAAAGTTTCAAATCCAAAGAGATATCCTTTATAAAAGTTAAGAGTCAACCAACGCCTACCTAAAACGGCTCGTTCTAACACGCCCCCACATATCTACATCACTATGTGGAAATACAAACTTTTCTCAGAGAAAAATTGCAAAAACTTTTTTGGAATCGGGTTTGTATTAGCATAATGCCGCCCAAATGTTCACGCAAAGAAAGAAGGCATGGTTTCAGGAACAGCAGTAGTGTTGATGCAGCCATGTCAGGGTGACGCTGTGTGATTCAGTGCGAAAGCAAAAGCACTTTATTTGGCCTTCTGGAAGTAGATGCAATTAGGAATCATTGGTTAAGATTTATTTACAACAGAACAGCACAACCCAGATGTTCGAATTTGTGCAACGCATTTTATGGACAACAGTTTGAATCAGCGACTGAAAGTATGTTTTGTTACTAGTTTAAGTATTTGCTATTGACTGTTCAAATGCGGAGTTTTGCGCAGCGCAGAGTAACGCATTGTGTGTGTGTGTGTGTGTGTGTGTGTGTGTGTGGGAGAGGGGAACAGGGTCACATCACAGGTCGGAAAGAAAGGATCTGGTTCTAATTTACACTTCTGAGCGCCACAGCCCAGAATGAGCTCACCGTGAAAGAATAACAATAAAATAAGATGGAACAAGAGACAGAACAACAGCGGAGAAGCAGGGGAGAGAATTGCTCAAAAAGCAGCTGGGGCGTGTTTCTTTTTTTCCATGTAGCTCATTTGTGTTGGTAATTGGTAGTAAACAAAAAAATGCTATGCACTTTCCATCAACTTTTCTGTGGTTACTAAAGTCATTTGCAAAGCTTTGTGTGTGTGTGTGTGTGTGTGTGTGTGTGTGTGTGTGTGCATTGTTATGATGTTGCTAGTGTTCTGGGTGGTTGTTAGTGTGTTGATTGTAAGATGTTCTGTGTTCAACTCACCCAATTCTGGTCATGAGATATGACTATGGTCCCTCCCTGTTTTCACTCGTTTTAGCATCTACCAGACAAAAAAACCAACTACTTAGAAAAGCAATAGAACATCTCTTTTCATCGTGATGTAATTTGAGATGCCATTCAAGTAAAGCACTAAAGTATATTTATTTATTTTTGTTATATGACCGTCACACTAGGTCTGGACAATAATTCAATATCAATATGCATCGCGATATAATTTTTTTTCAATAACGGTGATATGATTTTTAAACACATTTCTGATATTTCAATATAAATTACCAGTGTTTCCTATACATTGATTTATTTGTGGTGTTTGATTTCGTTGAATAAACATGAGCACTGCCCTTTTCAAAATCATAACACGGCGCGGGTGTTTTATATGAATGTATCTCTGAAGGGAAAGAACTGTCTTCAGAAAAGTTTCGATGACATTTTAATTTTTATCTGATAAAGTAGCGTTCATGAGCGGAGCTGCTTTGATTACAGCCGTTACTGGGGAAACCGCTAGTTCTACCGCTCTCAAAGCGCATCCTGCTGACAAAGAATCAGTTTGCATTTTCAATAATAAACCCGTCTCCAGCAACATGTTTTCCTTTCTCTTTGGAGTGTTACAAGCTCTTAGTGTATAAAGAAGATCTGTAAAGTTGCAAAGACTAAAGTTTCAAATCCAAAGAGATATCCTTTATAAAAGTTAAGAGTCAACCAACGCCTACCTAAAACGGCTAGTTCTAACACGCCCCCACATACCTACATCACTATGTGGAAATACAAACTTTTCTCAGAGAAAAATTGCAAAAACTTTTTTGGAATCGGGTTTGTATTAGCATAATGCCGCCCAAATGTGCACGCAAAGAAAGAAGGCGTGGTTTCAGTAACAGCAGTAGTGTTGATGCAGCCATGTCAGGGAGACACTGTGTGATTCAGTGCGAAAGCAAAAGCACTTTATTTGGCCTTCTGGAAGTAGATGCAATTAGGAATCATTGGTTAAGATTTATTTACAACAGAACAGCACAACCCAGATGTTCGAATTTGTGCAACGCATTTTATGGACAACAGTTTGAATCAGCGTCGCTGGTTGCAGAAACTCATTTCCTCCTTGAGACACGATCTTTGACATCCGTTTAAAATCTATTGCGTAACTAGCACAGTTCTCGCAGAAATAAATGCAAAAGCACTAGGCAAAGGTCACGTCAATTTAAACTCTTCACTAAAATGAATTCATTTTGTAATTTTAAGGATATAAAGAAACACAAGCTGCACCAAACAGCAGCATAGATGTCTCGTTCAATGTAGAGTGGGATTCAACATGAAGTGCCCCGAGTCAGATGACGGGGCCCTAACCAGCTGTTCCGCCACTTGCTTATGCTACTCTACATGAAGCTTTAAAAACGGATCCAGAAGCAGCCGACTTCATACATTATTAGGTTATGATAAAAGCAGCAATAGTAGAGAAACTAGTTCAGCAGCAAAGTCTTTGATGTCCAGTATATTTTTCTACTATAGCCATGCACACAGAACACAACGTTTCATGTTTCGTGCCACAGTATAGGACGGGACAATAAAGACTTGTGAACAACAAACTGTGATCAATGCTACACTATAAAAAAAATAGCATTACATTCAGTAATGTACATTCAGAATGCCATAAGGGAGCAATTCCCAAATGTGCAGCGGTCCATTCACCTCATTGTGCCTTGATCACAATATCAAATGCACTCACAATAGAAAATTAGTTGGCTGACTGTGGCTGATGGACAGCTATGGAAACGAAGCACAAAACACAACAAAACCTCAAGACAGTATGTGTCATATGGTATGTTACTAAAATGTGTTGTTTCATGGTACACCACCCTCACTCAAAACTAAGCGCAATATAGGCTACACGCTGTCAAGTGATGATTAATGAGATAAAAACACAGCTTCTAGAGTTCAAAAGTTACTGTACATGCAAATTCATGCAAGTATTTTTTTTTGTTGAAGATTATGGTTCTTTATATGACAGTCAGCTGCAGTTCACAAATTTTGGTGGTGTAACAACAGTGCTGATATATGGTACAGTCCAAAAGCACTGTGACTTTTCACTGTTTGTATCACCCCACAAGTTAAGATCAGAACATGTGAGCGGTGCCATCAGCTTAAAGCTTAACACACATATATACGTATATACACATACACACTTCTTAATTTTCAATGCAGAAATACATCTCCTGTTAATGGGCGAGACTTGATGATTTATTAGCCCAATAGATAAATAGAATAACAAAGTACAGTAAATAGTAAAACTACACTAAACTGTTATTGTGCAGTTAAAATAGCTGGAAGCAACTGACACTGGAAATTTTGCACATTCGCTACTAATTGTACGGAATATCACTCCACTTCAGATGTTTAATGACGAGTAACCTAAAGACTAACTCTATAGATCTCATAATTCAGTAGATTTATAAAGACAAACTGCAATAAAAGATCAAACGTTTGATTGTGAATGATTCAACGACTTATAACACAAACATCCTCTACTGTGTCGCCACCTACTGGCGTAACGACGTAAACTGCAGAAAACCTCACTGACACATTGTGAACGAGTCTTTCAGTGGACGCATTCAAAAGATTCGAAAGATCATAGTCCCTGCCACCAGTAAAAAGTCCCAGACTAAATATTAACATTCAATTTGGGAAAAACTCGTGAATTCATCGTTAGGACTAACGTTACCCTGTAACATTCACAAGAGAAACTGCTCGTGTTTTCCCTGCCACCAGTAAAAAGTCCCAGACTAAATATTAACATTCAATTTGGAAAAACTCGTGAATTCATCGTTAGGACTAACGTTACCCTGTAACATTCACAAGAGAAACTGCTCGTGTTAGTACAAGCATTTAACGTCCCTCTCGCTCCTAAGAAAATCGTCGAATCAAAGCTTTTAAAAACGACTACAGAATAAATGTGCCTTTTAAAAACAAGCATAAGATAGTGTGCTTTGAATTCAGTTCTGCACTGAAATCACAGCACGGAGCGATACCACTATCTTTGTGAGTCCACGCAAAAGACTTTGGCTATTTAAACGTGCGGGCTTCTCTCGCCGTAATGACTGTTTTTCCTCATTCATCCGCAAACGAAATATTTCGACACAGTCACTCAAAAAAAAAACTTATAATAGCACCGATCCAGCAGCATGAAACATGAAGCGAACAGAAAAACCTACCTTTCGACTCAGCGTTGTCCCCGAATAGAAATAATATGCTATGCCTAGAACCCAAAGCACAGCGAAACATAATAATATCCTAGATTTCCTGCGCATAGCTGTGATTTTGGATGGGATAATACAGTGGCTGAGTCGGGGTTTGTGCGGGGAAAAGCCACTGACGTCCTCGGTCTGCGTCTCGCTGTGGCTACAGCGCTCAACTAACACAAAATCAGCAGCAGCAGCGGTTGCATAGAGGAAGAAGCAGGAAACAGCCAGCATCACCGGGTTAGAGGGGAAAGGGTAACCGACTTTAATCCAATCACGCTCCGCAGAGAGTCCAGAGACGCGGACGGAGGAGGGGTGGGGGTGGAGACATGCATCGTAAGCCTGTACCTCAAGATGCGCCGAGGAGTCATTGTTTGGTTCATTCTGGATTTCTGACAAACACATTTTGTTGTAATGTTTCGGTCTTCTCACGGAAGTAATATGAAAATATGCTCACTTTACTCTGATGTACACATTTGTGTAACCTTATGTGACTGCCTTTGTATTGTGCACACTGACATTTACCCGGCTGTACACTAATGATTACTTTATTAAGTTTAGCAAATGGTTTTCATTTGATAATTTATTAAGTCATTAATCACCAAAAATGCATCTAATGAAACTTTGAAGAGTTTCATAGGTGAAAAAGATTGAATGGAACAGTGATATAACCAGGAATTCCAGGCCCCATGACTGTATTACGCCTCTTTTTCAACAAAATGCAAAACCAGCCTACCTGGTACTTAAACAGCTAAACCTTTGAATAAAAACTTTTGTAGGCTATATTTTAACTGTTAAACAAAAAAGTCAATGAAATCACAAAAGTATATTTGAGATCTTTCTCTCTTCTGTGACTGAGGATTATTATAGTTAACTAGAAATAAAACCAAAGCCATACAAACTTAAAAGTAAAAAAAAAAACCTACTAAAATAACATAAAAAAATATATATAGACAAAAAACAAATACAAATGACAAAACAACAAAATTATTAAATATAAAATAATACATAATAAATATTTACAAATATAATTAAAGAAATAACTAATAGGATCTCAATGGTAGTAAAATAACACTGCTTCTGACTGCTGTAATTCATGTCTTTGAATTACAAAGAAAATTATCAGTAAATTTACATTTTTGGGTGAACTATTTCTTTCATTTAGGCGAGACTGCAGGTGAATAGGGTAAACATATTAACTAATAGTTATCACCTTACTTACCCAGTTGAGTGATTACATTGATAATTGCAAACAATTTTTGTATTACAAGTTAAGCTAAAATGTTACGTTTAAATATGCAAATGAGGTATTATTTAATGAAATATGCTCTAATTTGCATACATTTCTACTACAAAAATCTGAACACTGGACAAAGTCAGTTTCAAAATTCTTGTTACATTTTTTTGACATGTTCGAGTCAAATGTTTTTACAGAGGGAATTTTGGGTATCGCTTTTTATTTATCAATTCAGAAAAATCTTTGAACAGCCAGAAAACAATATATTTTCACAATTTTGGGGGGAATAAAATGTTGTACACAATCAAGCAAATTATATATGTACCAATCCCTCTGTAAAAATCTTCAGAATATAAACAGGAATAAAAATGTAAAGTTTGCTGTGTGTAAGTGCTACTGAAGAGGAGATTTATGGCTCAGTGTAGGAGAAAAAACGGCCGTTAAAAATATGTATTGTAATTTAAATCTATTGACACAAATAAATAAAGTGCTATAAAATAAGCACTTAACAGTGTCTTTTGGATGTTTTCTTTCCACTAGTCTTTATCAACACTTTATGAAAAGCCAAAAAGCCAAAAATCTCAAAATTGACAGGTGCATGAAAAAATAGTGTTTTTGCCTGCAGTGTCTCCCCTTAAAATGATTAAAAACACTAAAAAAAAAGTGTAACATAAAATTCTCATTCTGACGGCACCCATTCACTGCAGAGGATCCAGAGGTGAGCAAGTAATATAATGATAAATTCCTTTAAATCTGTTCCAATGAAGAAACAATCTCATCTGATGGTCTGAGGGTGAGTATATTTTCAGCTAATTTTCATTTTGGGGTGACCTATTCCTGTAAGATTATGTTAATGTAACTAAATTTAAATAATATAAAGATTTATTTAGGCCCACTAGAATTTTGCAGAGGGCCCCTGGTTGAGAACCACTGCTCCAGAATCGTTCCCACCTTTCACCCCTTTAGTTACTGTCCTGCGTGTCAGCACCACTACTTAGCCCAAGTGTGATGCTTAATAAAAGTTTCAGATTTTTTTTTCTACTGGAATGAAAGCAGTTTTACACTTCGATGCTGGATGTCTGCTGGAATCTCAATGCGATTTAGTTTAAATATTTGAAAGAGATTTCAAGATGAGCCACACTGGTCTGCTGTCTGGTGATTGATTTTAGGCGGTCGATAGTGACATTTATTTATTCATCAAAATGGGTTCACTGGGTGTTTTTTAAAACCTGTAGAAAAAAGCCAACTAATATATAAATAAATGCTTTACATTATCAATAACCTATACTGTAATGAATAATGTAAGCTACAGACAAACCTCTTCAGTTTTAAATAACTTTTAAAATCCAAAATGTTTTTGAGCCATCTAATAATTTGAATAAAGAACAAAGGCTGATTTACAAACACTGCTGCACTTCCAAGGAAACACTTGAATGACCTACTTTTCATATGGTGACAAGCAAACTGGATCTTATGAACACACAGTGCTGCAGTTAAAGATTTGGGCTGGCAAGTGGCAAAGTGGCACATTTAATCCCTTTTTTAAACTTGAGCAAAGCACTTATCCTCAGATTGCTCCAGGACAGCTTTTGATGTTGTAAGTGTGCTGTAAATTGATTAGGATTGAGTAGGATTGAGTTTATGAAATAACAAATAGCCAGATGATTCAATCATGATTCGCCAAGACTCACACCACCTAAACATAATAAGGTAAATGGTTTAGGTTATTTATTTATTTACAAATGACACCAATATATAGGTTATAAGAAAACACAAATTTGAAATGTCTGAAAGAATGTGTAAAATATATCTAAATACTTCAAAAATGAAATAACTTTTAGTTTTTAAAGATGAAACTTAAATATCAAGATTTTCAAATGTCATCTACGAATGGCAGTAGACTAAATCGTCCCCAGACACCAAGTTAAAGAATTTCCTTAGTTCAAGTTTTGAGCCATTTTCTGCATCACAATGAACTGAATTGCTATGATTTTATTTGACTGGTACTTAAATCTGTCTCATCACAATATAATTCTGTCAGTCTCTCTCCATAACAGAAAAAAAACTACCTCAAATGATTTGTACAGCATTCTGGCACTCTTCAAATTAGCAAATTTGATGCTTAATAAAATCAAAAGTCAAAAGCCAACACAAGGCTCAAGAACGTCATTAAACAATCACATTATTATTCTGTAACTGTGTGGTTGTGCATTTCCTGCTCATAAACTTGGCTACCTCTTTACCATGAGAACATTTGGCTCATAGCTTACAACAGGAGAATGTGTGTCATTTCCTATGGCATCCATATTTTGCAAAAGGGTTGTAATGCTTTATTGCTCTCCCACCCTTCCACTCTTTTCTGTCCCCCCAAATCAGTTGTAAGGGTTTCCTCTAGAAGTCATGATCCCTTGAGACAGCTAGGAGAAACACAAATGGAAGGTGAGGCTATGCTTAAACTGCCTTATTTAGGCAGGGAGTATGATTATAATTCTGACCTACCATTTTGTCATTTTGATGGTGACAACAATGTTTTATTCTTTCGTGTCACATGAATATACCTCAGTATAAACCCCATTGGACATTTTAGGCATTCGGGGAGAAAGTTTTAATTCTGGTGACAGATTTTCATTGTACAATTATGTCAAGATCAAAAACCTACAAATAAGATGTTTTCCGTTCTGAGATACAGCCTGGAGTGAATTGTAAAAACATCCAGGGACTTTATGGAAAATAAAGATCTAGTGGCTATAAAAGGTCAGCATGTTTTTATGAAAGCTCCATCTAGGGAAATAACAGTATTCTCAAAATTGGCTGTTATACTTTATAACAACATGAAGTCAATGACCACTCTTAACCTTGATTGAAAAAACAATAACATCTGAAAACCATTTGATTCCAAAAGACAAACTGTCATATTTATATCGGTGCACATTTCCAAACGTGTCAACACTGAGCAATTCTCACTGAGCGATTCAACCTCAACTATAAGGCCAGCTGACTATTATGACAATAAATGTACAGCCTTACATGAAATATGGTAGAACTTAAGAAATAACATTGGAGCTCTATAATAAACACACATCAACGCATGTTATTATAACCTTTGATATATGTGCAATTCGAATTGTCATCCAAAATTTCAGACAGAAATCCATACTCTGTGAGCGTGAACAGGACCATTTTCATCCTATATCAGTTATTTTTATGTCTGTATATGTCTGTATATGTGTACTGTGGGCAAATGTCTTTTTTCCTCTACATTCAGTGGTTTGTTGTATCTAAGGCCCTACATTTGAGCATTCACTGGGGCTAATGAGGCGAATCGGTTTTTCAACAGACTTGGCCCTCAGCCACTGGTCTGATCATCCCAGTCAGCTCCTGGGTGCTGGCTGGGATGATTTCTGCCCCGTTCTAGTCCTTTGCTTTCATGCAAGACCCCCTACAGACACCATTCCTGACCCTGCTGAACAAAAGAAAAGAAAGCTAGGGAAACTTCACACAGGGATTGCTGCAGAGCTTCTGTGAATCTGATGAGTGTGGTGCAACTGTTAAAAAGCAATGATACAAACAGGTCCCCTAAAGCAGTGATTCCCAACCATGTCCCTGGTTCCATTTCCCCAATGTCTGACACACCCATTTCAGGCAGAGGTTGTCTTATTATTGGGAGATGCGATGGTCTATAGCACTCACCATTGGAAAAAGCGTAACGGCTAACTTGGATCACGTGAGGCACCTCAGCCAATCATACAATGGCCTCTGGTCTTGCCTGCGTATCGTCAAAGCCGCAGCATTAGCATTAGCCGTTACGCTTTTTTTGGCCAAAGTTTGCAGGGTTGCCTTCCAGTGGCTTTGTTTCAGCTCTTGGAGTCTCTACTAATGAGTTGATGACCTGAATCAGGTGTGTTTGATTAAAGATACATGTCAAATGTTTGGATGGGCTCCAGGAACGTGGTTGGATACCACTGCCCTATAGGTCTGTGGACTAGTTGTGAAACAGCTCCACCATCAGTTTGCCCACCAGACACACATCTAGTTCTAAAAAGAGCTACTGGGAATCTTTGTAATCACTTTCTAGTAGGGTGACCACCAGTCCTGAAATTGGGAGTTTTGTCCCACGTCCTGGAAGATGTTAAACCAGGGATGTCCAATAATGCTTCTGGAGGGATATTAGGACAATCTACTTCCTGCAGATATTAGCTCCAACCAGCTCCAACACACTTGCCTAGAAGTTTCTAGTGAGTGAGTCTGAAGACCTTGATTAGCTGGTTCAAGTGTGTTTATTTAGGGTCAAAGCTAAACTCTGCAGGACAGTGGCCCTCCAGGAACAGGTTTGGAAACCCCTGACATAAGCAGAGTCCCACATTTCAATTATGTCTGTATTATATTCTTCTTCCCTGAAATTACAATACCACAATAAGAAGTCAGATTAAACAGATGTAACTGGTCTTTAAAAATCCATTTGCCGCTGTGTTCGGGGAAAATAACCAACCAAGCAATGTATTCGTAGAGAGGGATTTTTTTCACTGATGACGACTGGATGGAGCACAGTGGACCTCTTCAGAAGTCGTTAAATACTGCTACACCAGCCAGGAATTCATCTAAACACATACTGGACAATCCTGCTAGATCCAAGTCCAAGATGCACTGAATCTGGTTTGCACAGCTAATAAAGGAATATAAACTAGTTGCTACTTAAGGAAATTTTTGTATAAACTGTGATTTTTTACCTACTAGCCTGTTATTCAATTTATTATATTTTGCAGACTGAATAGGTCCTGTACAGTAAATTACACTGTATCACTTGAAACTGGGCAAATTGAGTGCCAGTCACAGAACCGTTTGAACAATTAACAAAGCTTTATTGGCAATTTAAAACATGATATCCAACATAATGGCAAAAAAGGTTTCCAACTAATTTAAATCAACATTTACATAGTATAATAGCAGTAAATTAATCTCTATTACACGTTTCCCCACATTGTCTCACAAAATCACATCTACGCCTACAACAGAGTAATAATAGGTGGTCACCTTTCTTCCTAGTTCTTCATGGATCCAGTAACACGACCAGTCAATGCCTTTACATTTGTACAGTGCATGTTGAACATTTTGTTGTATTGTAATGGCATTGTTATAGTTGTTTATCCGGTCTGCATCTGAGGTTGTCCCGTTTTGCATCTAAATTTTCTTCAGAGAGATCCTCAGGAACACAATGTTATTGTACACTGCACTACGGCTAAAAAAGGTTTAGGCACACCAGAGCAGTTGGTGTGACTGCTCTATAAATGTTTAACACCATTTTAACAATATAGGTCTAATAGGGTACATTTTTAATTGGTTATTTATCATCCAGGAAACACTTTCACAGTACACTAATTTTATAGAGTCCACCTGGAGCAACCTCAGGTTAATTGGTTTACTCAGCAGCACAGTCCTGAAACTGGATTTCTCCAACTTTAGCTGATGAATCGTACATTAGTTTCAGGATTTCAGGTTGCCAATTCACCTTAACTCTTTGTTAGGTCTTTTATTTAATAAGGTTTGTCTGAGGACATTAGTAAGTACTAATTACACAAAAAAATTTACTGTTCTTCCAAGAAAAAATATCCTGTTTTTCAATTACAAAAAAAATGATAAAGTACAAAATACATGGTCACAACAAAGATTTCAGAGTGTTTTTTCCCCTTATTTAAAGGGATTGTTCACCCAAAAATGGAAATTGTGTCATCATTTACTCTCCCTCTTGACACTCCAAACCTCTATGAATTTCTTTTTTTGCATGTTTGAACTAAGAATCTGACGTTTTCCCTCAGGTTTTAGATCTGCTGAATATGCAAAATGGTTCCATAAATGTCATTCCTTATGTCTCTTTCTTTAGTGCTAAACTTTAACCCTTTCCTATACCAACTGTATGTGTGTGTGTGTGTATGTGTATGTTAGACCGGCTTAATGTGTTTATGTAGTATGTTAGACTAGTTTAAGTGTTTATGTAGTTAATAAAACCTTACTTGTATCACACTTGACGTGTTCATTGTTTACTCATAACCGGAGTCAATAATCATGCAGATTTACGTTACAAACTTATAGAATTGTACAGTAAGAAAGTTATTTCCTTTAACCAGGAAATTAACGTTCTTAGAATTGACAAGACGGTTGACCCTGAGTGGTCAGCTAAATATCTACAGTGGATCTAAAATATTAATAATTAATCATAATTAGTTATGGTTAATTATTCATATTTCCTGTTGTGAGCTAAATTCGCTACACCTGAAACTGGATTTCTCCAACTTTAGCTGATGAATCGTACATTAGTTTCAGGATTTCAGGTTGCCAATTCACCTTAACTCTTTGTTAGGTCTTTTATTTAATAAGGTTTGTCTGAGGACATTAGTAAGTACTAATTACACAAAAAAATTTACTGTTCTTCCAAGAAAAAATATCCTGTTTTTCAATTACAAAAAAAATGATAAAGTACAAAATACATGGTCACAACAAAGATTTCAGAGTGTTTTTTCCCCTTATTTAAAGGGATTGTTCACCCAAAAATGGAAATTGTGTCATCATTTACTCTCCCTCTTGACACTCCAAACCTCTATGAATTTCTTTTTTTGCAGAACACAAAAATTTTGTAGAAAACTGTGAATCAAACAGCAATGGAGACTATTGACACTATTATAAATGTTAACACTTTTATTTTTGCCCCCATTTTTCATGAGCTGAACTCAAAGATCTAAGACTTTTTCTATGTACACAAAAGTAGTGAGTAGTGAGTAGTTAGTGAGCATTTCTCCTTTGCCGAGATAATCCATCCACCTCACAGGTCAACTCCTTCGCATCAACTCTATACGAAGGAGATGTGTTGCACTGCACGAGGCAAATGGTGGTCACACCAGATACTGACTGGTTTTCGGACCCCCCCGGACCCCCAAATACAGAAAAACTGCACATTTTAGAGTGGCCTTTTATTGTGGTCAGCCTAAGGCAATAATCATGCTGTCTAATCAGCATCTTGATATGCCACACCTGTGAGGTGGATGGATTATCTCGGCAAAGGAGAAGTGCTCACTAACACAGATTTAGACAGATTTGTGAACAATATTTGAGAGAAATACCTTTTGTGTACATAGAAAAAGTCTTAGATCTTTGAGTTCAGCTCATGAAAAATGGGGGCAAAAACAAAAGTGTTGCTTTTATAATTTTGTTCAGTGTATATATATATATATATATATATACACACACACATTTAAATATTTGTAAACATGCTTAATTGTAACAGATCAATTAGAAGCAAATTACAGATTCATTAACTTCACACAAACAGTTTAAAGCAGAGGATGCAAAGTTTAGACGGTGTACTTTTCTTCCCCTTGCCTTTGAGATTTGTCATAGTGTGTGTAACTATTGTACAGTTCATTGAACACTTCCTTGACACCCATTTGAAGGGTGGTGTTCAAAAACGTAATGTCTTGTTCAACACAGTGGTCCAGGATACAGTATATTCCCTCTGTTAGATGTGCCTTAATTTCTGGCTGAAGTGTCACCTATGAAATAAGAAAGAAACTCATAGTGAGAGTATACAATGACAACAATTATCTGCAATGTGATTGTTCAGTGCAGTAACATGAGTCTAAGGCCAGTTAGAGGTCAATTGCATTTCACACTTCAAGCTAATAAAAACAATTGACTGGACAGTGTGTTTCTCCTTCAATTTAAAGTTAACATAACCTCTGTTAGAATAGCATTATTGCCAAAAGTGCAGGACATCGGATAAGTCCCAGTGCATGAACTCTCAAGCTATAATTGTGTGGTTTAAGATTTATGACAGAGAAGATTATTCTAAAATATTCTAGCAAATATCGGCAGGCAGTTCACGAGAGCAAAAAAGACAATTTCAGGAAGCAGTAGAAACTGGCATGGCATGTGGCAGGTAAAAACTGATAATGACTAGTGTCTCACCCTCTGCAGTTCACTAACATACTGAGCAACAAAGAATGAGGACAGGACTGTGAAATCTTCAGCAGCATTGGCAATATGAGTGTACATCCTCTCCACCAGCATGGCACACTTCAGAAGACTCTCTTTGTCCTTCTCTGAAGCTGAAAAAAGAGAGATCACAAATGTAGTAATTGTAATATTTTAACTAGAACTGTTAACACATGTGATTAATTATGCTTAACGCCGTTGGTGCATTTAATTAAAATCTAATAATTAACTCCAATTCAAAAAACTTAGCATGACCTCCGCAGGAAAGACATTTTCAGGAAGTATTTGAGAAGAAATTGGCATGGGCATATGGCAGATAAAAACTGATAATGACTAGTGCCTCACCCTCTGCAGTTCACTGACATATTGTGCAACAATGAATGAAGACAGGACTGTGAAATCTTCAGCAGCATTGGCAATATGAGTGTACATCCTCTCCACCAGCATGGCACACTTCAGAAGACTCTCTTTGTCCTTCTCTGAAGCTGAAAAAAAGAGAGATCACAAATGTAGTAATTGTAATATTTTAACTAGAACTGTTAACACATGTGATTAATTATGCTTAACGCCGTTGGTGCATTTAATTAAAATCTAATAATTAACTCCAATTCAAAAAACTTAGCATGACCTCCATCAGTCAAGTCTGTAAACCTTTAGACGGGTGTGATTGGTCACGACACATATTTCAGTAATATTTACGTTTTATGTTTAATATTAATGTTAAAAATGGCTGTCCTGCGTAATATATTTTTTGTGGAAACCATGATACATTTTTTCAGGATTCTATGTTGAATATGAAGTAAAAAAAACAAAAACAAAAAACAGCATTTATTTGAAATACATTTAACATTTGTAAAAACATAAAAGTCTTCACTGTGACTTTTGATCAAATGAATGCATCTTTACTGAATAAAAGTATTTATTTCTTGAAATAAATAAAAATCTTACCAAACTTTTGAACGGTAGTGTACTATTGTCTGGTATATATATATATGCAAGTACTGCCAAACACATTAATTACACATTCTGTTCTCTCTCTCTTCATTAATTTTAAGTACATTTTATGCCAGTTCAAATATAAATATGAATCCTGGTTAAATCTTTCAAAGTCATATTATCTGCCAGACAAATAAGAGTGAAATCAAATTCATGTTTTAAGAAAGCACCATAAGACTGACACTGCCTCACATCTGAATACATTTCAGTTCTGACCGAACTATGATGTCAAATATGAAAGTCTGAGAAATTAAAGACTGAATGTACTGATGTTACTGCAAAAAAGGCTTTAAATCTTCTCAAAAAGAGTTCTCAATTCAAAAAGGATAGGCCTTCAGTGCTAAAATGTGTTGAGCCTCGAGCTTCAGGATCAAATTCAACCTTCTTTCTTCATGGATTTTTTCTCCTTCACTTCACTTTGAAATTCAATCCACAGAGCCACAGTCTGCAAGCGTCTGTCTCTGAACACAGCTCAACGAGGTGCTTGTCTCATTAGGTGAATAATGCCTCAAATAACATCTTTCTGCACAATTAATGAATTCAGTGCAACTTGTAGATGGAAAAGTATCAGGAGACATATGACTCTACTAATACTCAATAAATGACTCTTTGGTTGAGAATAGGACACTTTTCCTATCATGTTTCAAATGTAATAACTTGCCAGCATCAAGTGCTTTCCACTTTCTTTTGTCCACTACAGCCAACAATAAGAGCAGACATGATGACAAGAAAGGGCCTTTGAATTCATTGGTGTTAAATTTGTTTGCTTGCACAGACATCTTATGTAAAAGGTTACAACAAAGTGCTGAATAGAATATTAACAGCCAGGAGAAACTCAGCCCTGAGATTTATATACTGTAATACCCTCAATGGGGGAAAGGATCAATTAAACAGGATTTAAGCAAACAAGGGTGAATAAACGTTCAAACGTTTGGGGTAAATACGACTTTTAGAAATAAAGTAATATTTTATTCAAGAATGCATTCAATTTATCAATAGTGACAGTAAAGACATTTATACTGTTAGAAAATAATTATATTTCAAATAAATGCTTTTCATTTGAACTTTCTATTCAAAGAAAAGATGAAAAAAAATCACAGTTTCCACAAAAATATTAAGCAGCACAACTGCTTTCCACATTGATAATGATAAGAAATGTTTCTAGAGCAGCAAATCAGCATATTAGATTGATTTCTGAAGGATCATGTGACACTGA